TTTGCCCTCCTTCAGATCCTCCTCACGAGCTTTGCGGACATGCGGCATATATCGAGCAAGTCTGGGAAACACAGCTGCATAGAAAACCAGAGTAGCTCCGTAGGCGATGTATGCAACTACATACATCGCCATAGCGGCAGGCCATTGACTAGGGTGCCTGATCGCCATCATGCCATACTGGAGAGCCCAGCATACTACTGTCAATGCCAGCAGAAGCCAGCGGCCAAACGACCCATAGTCGGCCGCGCTGCCGAGCCAGACAAATATCACCGTCATGAAGGTGAAACACAATCCATTAGCAATCAGGACCACGGACGAGACGGACCGCGTGCCTCCAGCCCATGAGACAACGCAGGGAGAGGAGTCTTTGCATGGTTGGCGAGGATTGGTGCCCGGTTGCCAACCAGCCCCGTTCAAGGCCGATTGAAAGCTTCAGGGTAGATGCATTAGTTGAGATCTCATGTTGCTGCAAATGCTTTCTTCTTACAGTGCTTGACTATAAGAACCCGGTCCAACACCATTGTCACCTGAGCAGAGCACGAGATGTCTTGTCAGTAAGTTCTAGTAAAAAGAGCCAAAGGCAATTACCGTTGTAGTAAAGATAGTAAGACCATAGTTCTCTTCTGGTGGTTGTTGGTTGTTCGTATGAGTGTTCATCCACGCCGAACAGCCGTTCGAAGTCGTCGCGCGTTGACTGGACTTCTTGCGCAGTTATTGTAGCTTTTGTATTACTTCCCTCATCACGTTGCCTGACATCGTCGTGATCAGCGTTATGGATCATTATACTTGGTTGATTGGACGGATGACTATTCGGAGACATGACGACAACGGCGTAACGACTTCCAGCTGCATTGATCAGTGTTAGATGCTGCTTTTTAACGTCGGAAAAAGAGGCGAACTGACCTTATAAACCGGGATTTCCCCGATTAAGTTGAAACATCGACAGATCATCACCGTGATGGGAGAAAGTGTCAATGCGAGCGATGGTTGATGGCCAATGCTACCCCGCATCTACTGTTGCATTTCCTGGAGACAATCTCGCATCGTCTCCTGATTTTCGGCCCCATTATATTGGCTACTAGAACCAAAGTGCAACCTTCACGACGCCAACTAGACTTCCAAGAGACACTCTGTGATAGTCCGATAGTGTCAATACGAGGAGAAGAGAATCGATTAAACGAATACCGGGCAGTCCATGTGAAACCCGGCAGGTGTTCTCCGCATCTTCTCCACCATCGTCTCCAGCGACTGATCTTCATATGCCATCCGAATTCATAGACGCGCTGCTATAGAAGTTGTTATTTCTCATTGAACTGGGTCTCTCCTACATAGAATGGTATATTTGCAACACTAGGAGCTGGATTGAGACTATTTCACCAAGACCTAACCGAGATAAAGCTTCGCCCATTTGCAATTGCACCGAGCTGAAAAGATGCCGCCAGAAGATTTACAGAAAAAAGTTGGCCAGGTAAGGTCACTATATTTAAACGTCTGTATATAAACCAGTCTGATCTGACGACGGCTGTTAGCTTTTTGCGGTCGGCTTCCATGGTGTTGTACCAAGTCCAGAGATCAAGACTTTGATCCACGAGTACGGGATAGGGGGTATTGTCCTATTTAAAAGGAACATTCAAAATGCAATGCAGCTCCAGGTATGTTATTACATCAATCGCCCCGATATCCCGACGCCGACGAAGAATGGTCCACTGACCCCGGTACAAGTCTCTCACTCTGGCTCTGCAAGAGGAAGCTAGACTGGCAGGGCACGAATATCCTCTCTTTATAGGAATTGACCAAGAGAATGGGCTGGTCACGCGGATATCGCCACCTATTGCTGCTCAGCTACCCGGACCAATGTCCCTTGGAGCCACCCATTCGCCAGAATTGGCGTACCAGGTTGGACAGGTCACCGGTGAGACTTTGAGGTTCTTCGGGATCAACATGAATTATGCCCCCGTCTGCGACATCAATTCAGAGCCCTTGAATCCAGTCATAGGTGTCCGGAGTCCCGGAGACGACCCAGAATTTGTCGGTCGGTTTGCAAGCGCTGCTGCGCAAGGACTTCGAGAACAAAAGATCATTCCCAGTGTCAAGCATTTCCCCGGACACGGAGATACTGCGGTGGACTCACATTATGGGCTTCCAGTGATACAAAAGCCGAGAGAGCAACTGGAGAGATGCGAGCTGATCCCTTTCCGTCGAGCTGTAGCAGAGGGTGTTGAGGCAGTGATGACTGCGCATATCTCCTTGCCCGCCATCGGTGACGGCAAACTGCCTGCCACGCTGTCCGCTGATATCTTGAGCATTCTCCGCCACGAAATGCAATATGACGGGATGATCATCACTGACTGCCTGGAGATGGACGGGATTCGAGCCACATACGGCACTGAACAGGGAGCAGTGCTCGCCTTGGAAGCTGGTAGTGACAGCATCATGATATGCCATACATTTACTGTTCAAGTAGCTTCAATCCAAAAAGTCTGCGAGGCCGTGCAGTCTGGTCAATTGTCAGCTTCACGTCTGGACGAAGCATACCGTCGCGTGGTCAAGTTGAAGAGCAACTTTCTGAGCTGGGAAACTGCGCTCCTATCGCGGAATCTTGATGATTTGGTTGCTTTGAACAGGAAAGCTGCCACGCTTGCAAACAACGCCTATTCACTTTCAGTTACCCTTGTCCGCAGTGATCCTGATGTCTTGCCTCTATCAAAATCGGGACACCTTGTACTGCTGTTTCCAGGGGAGAGAACCCCTGCAGGAGGTGCAGTCGACGGGGAGGGTTTAGGAATGAAAGGAGCTTACGATGCCACGGAGTTCGGCGAGGTCCTGAAAGCCCACAATTCAACAACCGTTGAGGTTCACTATGGTACTGCCGGACTGTCGGCTGAGCAATACAAGCTTGTCGAAGCTGCTGATGCTGTTGTTCTCATCACCTTCAACGCACGAGAGTCGCCCTTCCAGAGAGAGATGGGCCTGAAGCTCTCTCAGCTTACTCAAAGATTGGTTACCATCGCTGCTTGCAGTCCTTACGACTTTTTGGACGATGACAGCATCAAGACGTATATAACTACCTACGAGCCGACTATTGAGGCTTTCACGGCCGCGGCAAATATTCTATTCGGTGCCATAACCCCAAAGGGTGCCCTACCGGTTGGATCAAAGAATGTCGCACTGGGTTCTATTCACGTGTCGCCATTCGAAGCCGCCAGTGATCTGACTGAACTGGTGGAAGTCTGGAATACTGCCCTGCCGACATATCCACTACCAGCAGACAGCCTTAACAGATTTTTGACTCAGGCCAATGGACATCACTTCGTTGCTCGACTAGAATCAAAGATCATTGGCTTCTGCGTCATGTATATGACAACTAACCGAGGCACGACGTGCTGTCAGCTGGCTGCCCTCGCAGTTCACCCCAGCTACCAACGTCAGGGTGTGGGCACAGCCTTGATCGCAGAAGCGAGGACGTGGCTCATGAAGACTTACAAACCATGTTCCCTATCACTTGGGAGCTCCTTCCCACGATTCTGGCCTGGTATTCCGACCGACCTCGGGCAAGAAGTACAGGAGTTCTTCGTCCACCGCGGTTTCCGCCTCAACCCTCTGATTCCGAGATCTGTCGATCTGTACCAGGATATCAAAGATTTTCAGCCACCAGAAAAGTACGTTGCGCGTGCTAAAGAGCGAGGCTTCACTTTCCGCGCACTCCAGCCCGAGCAGTATGAAGAGTGTCTGGCTGGTCAAAAGAAGAACTTCTCCTACAATCCGGTGTGTATCCGTTTCCCACCTCTGATTCTGCTGACTCGTCGCTGACCAGCCAGGCCTGGGTCGACATGTACCACAAGCTCGACCCTAAAGAGCATCCCTCGAGCATCATGACTGCATTTGACTCGCACGGGAAACAGGTAGGCTGGACGCTGATGCTGGCACCGTCGTCGCCAGTCCTGCAGCAGAACTGGGCCCTCCCACCCCTCTGTGGCCCCAAGACCGGGCTGATCGGCTGCGTCGGAGTTGATGAAGCATACCGTAAAGCAGGAGTCGGACTCGCTCTCCTCTGTCACGCGATAGAGGACATGAAGCAACGTGGAGTCGAGGGAGTCTTTGTGGATTGGGTCAGCTTGGAAGGATGGTACGAGCAGCTTGGGTTTAAGATCTGGCGCAGCTACAGGACAGGTCAGATGTAACTGTAGTGTACCTACTTAAGAAATGTCCGATGTATAGAAAGCTGTGTCAGTGACAACTAGGTATACATGATATACCTCTCGAAAATCCACCCCGAACAACCTCCAAGTGATCCCACTTATAGTCAACAGGCCAGACCACATAGACCTCAGGCTCAGTAATCGCAATTCTACGGTAATAGCCGGTTCCGGCCCGGATACTCCAAAAGCTGTCCGGACATTCACAATTCAACAGCCGCCAGGGAACCAAGGCATCAACAAGGCGGTGCAGCCAAGCGAGTCCCCCACACAAAATTTCCGAGAGTGACCTTCCGAGACGCCAACACCAACTCTCACTCTCTCGGAACACTCACTCACCGCCTAACCCACCCTTTGACAGCAAGCCCTATCAGCGTCCGTTCAGAGCACTGTGGTACAGTGTGAAGGATTGTCCACCTATGTCCGAGTAACCTCGCTTTTTCCAGGCTGGATGGTGTCAGACATCCGGAAATCTCGGCTCTCAAAATCTGCCACGGGCATAGATGGACAATCCTTACACTGTACCACAGTTCAGACTTCAAAAAGCATGTTACAAGAAGGTACGAGAAGATTGTTCTTCTAAGTCTGAACTGCAGTGATATTTTTCGACCAAACCTGAACTAATAAGTCCTTGAATTCGAACTAGTCAGACTTCTCTCTAAGCTGCACTTAGTAACAACGAGATCAAATGATTCCAATCGGCGTAAGCTCGAGTCATATCTTCGTCAAAGCCCATGTGGCACAGTTCCCCTCCCCAAAATTAGTGGTTACAAACCGCACAGCGGGAACGGATGCAAGTGGCATTTACATCTCAGTGCTGGGTGAGACGACCTGTCCACCGCCCTCTCTACTCGCCACCTTCTCGTCGTGAGCAGCCAGGTCTAGCTTGTACAAGGGCTCAAGCTTAACATCGCGACGGAAGATGTAACGCTGGATCCACCAAGGGAGGACCTTGAAGCACTGGTAATGCATGTGCTTTGTGGTGGGGACCGCAAAGATATAATCAAGTTCCTCCAGGGTGCGTTGCTTGGTTTCCGGCACCCAGAGGAAAATCATGACCAGAGCCGTGACATTCAGCCCTCTGCGTATTGGTTAGCGAGGCCCAGACATCCGACAAACAAAATCTTGGAATAGGATATGCACTTACGCATAGAAACAAAAGGCGCCAGTGGGGGTCATCACAGCAAGCATGCGTGGGAACGTGATGGACAAAACTGCGGCCCAGCCGAGGCAAGTAGCGACCGCCCAAGACATTCCAACCTCTGTGACGGAAATTAGCTGACGAGTGCCACAGAAGAAGGAAAATGAACACTTACCACGATGAGAGAGAGGGAAAACCTCTGCGGAATACGTGAATGGAACGGGTCCTTCTCCTGGAGAATAAAATGCTGCGAACAGGAACACGAAGAGTGCGATACATGCCAGATGAGCTTTGGAATCCTCCGGAATATAAAAGCAGAACGCCGCTGCGAGCAGAGTCCAAGCCATCTGAGGGAAAGTGAAAAGAAGAAGGGTGCGACGTCCGAAAGTGTCGATGGTGAACACAGCGGGAAAAGCAAAAAGGAAGTTGACCAGACCGAAGCCCCAAGAGGCAAAAAGGGCTTCGGTGTTGTTGGCACCCGCTTGAGCGAAAACCGTCGAGGAGTAGAACGCGACAATGTTTATTCCACACATCTGCTGAGCAATCATGACGACAAACGAAGCGAGGGTGGCGCGGCGGACTCGAGGAATGGTGAACAATTCGACGAAACGAGTAAGATAGTTGCCCTTGCCAGCGATCTCTTGCTCCACCTTGATCTGCGCATAGATGTAGTACAGGTCGCGGGCAGCTTGCAGCCGGGAGTTGCGCAGTCGGCAGAGAGATTTGAAAGCACCCTTCAAGTTGCCTTTCTTGATATACCAACGGGGCGACTCGGGGCAGAAATACACGCCAACAAGCAGTGGAATGGCAGGAATGAAAGCAGAGCCAAACTGCAACCGCCAGGCGATATCACCGGTATCCTTGACAGCCAGGTTAGCAGAGAAACCGAGGAAGATACCGAACGCCGTCCACAGTTGCCAGCACATGACCAAGCCTCCACGCACGGAAGCAGGAGTGTTCTCCGCACAGAAGATCGGAACAGTGGAAGCCTTCAGGCCCATTCCAAGGCCGAGGAGGAGACGAGTCACGAAGAGCTGGGGCCAAGTCTGAGCTACAGCGCTGCCAATAGGAGAAAGCACACAGAAGATCGCGGAGATGAAGATTGCACCACGACGGCCGAGGAAAGCATTGCACGGATCACTGAGCCAGCACCCAATGGCGGCACTGGCAATGTAGGGGCCTCTAGACATGGATGTTAGCCAGGTCTTGATGCAACTGAAGGACTGGGACTACTGACGCGTTTACTACACCAACCAACCACTGATTCTTCTCAGCGTCAGGGTTGGGACTTCCATCCAAAAGTTCGGCGGTGTCAGGAATACCGAGAGCGACAGGGAAGGAAAGATTGGCACCTGCGAAACGGGAAGGGCGGCATTAGCAACTCATCAACCGGCCGAATGATGACCTTATCCTTACCGTTACTACCAGTCTGGTCCCATCCTCTGAGAGGGAAATGCGTGTTAGTGGCTGTTTATGCACAAATGTCGCAGCGATTTGACTTACTGGACAGCGGCGCCGACGGAGCAAAGAATGATGGTGAAATAGAGAGCAAAAGGCTGGCGCCATTTGTGCTCGGTTTCATCACGGATCGCGGTGAGCTCCGCTTCAGTCATATCTGGGACTGTCTCGAAGTGTTCAGGGTCACGCGCGACGAGGGCACCCTTCTTCAGCTCGGGAAGAATGTCGACCAGGTCATGCTCGTTCGCAAACTCTTCGACATCGCGAATAACCTGAGAAGGAGTCAAGTCCGCCAGAGGATTCTTGATCCTACACAAGAAAATTGGTCAATGATCAGTGCCAGGAGACGACCCATGAGGCTACAGCAGTTCGTGAGGGGTAGACTCGAGGCCGTCGAGACTCGAAACTTACTTGGCAGAGAGATTCTTGTTCAGATTGATGTGCTCGTGATGGCCGGTTTCCAGCATTCCATTATCATCACTGATGCTGTCGTCACGAAAGTCGATGTCAGTCAGGAGTCACAAGCTGGGCTGCATAGAAGGTCGGGCTCAGGGAAAACCTACAACTGCTCGACAGGCGCATCAGCGGTTGCGATATGAGCAACCTCCTGCTTTGGGCCTCCGTCTGCCATGGCAAACTGAGACTATGAGAAGGAGATCGTTGTTGCTTGTGTGATATTATGTGAGTCTTCTTTCTTATTTCGAATTGGAAGAGTTGGGCTTGTAGCTCAGGGGGATGCGGAGAAGGAAGAAGAGAAGAAAGGTGCGGGGAGGGAGGGAAAGAAATAGTGGAGGGAAAAATAATTAAAAAAAATTGTGGAAAAAAAAAATATTACCATATTCACAAGACAGTTCAAAGAAAAAAGGAAATAAAAATGAAGGCTGAATCCACCAGGAAGATCACTGACTGAATGTTCACAGGCGCCTATCCAATGGCGTCACTGCTAGATTCGGTTTACACCTGGGCAATTCACGACTGCATGCATCTTTCTCCTGTCAGATATACAGAAAGTACCCACTTCTCCTATTGGTCCCCAAGGGCCGAAGGCTGTAAACTACCGTGGAAGTATTATGCGGTCTAGAGTCAGTGGCTGCTCTTTAAAGAGCCATTGCCGCGACTAACTCCTTCGTTTGAGAGTCTACTCAGTAGTGTCAATGCTTTTCACTAACAGTCTAAGGCTACCAGGACATCATCTGTTCACCAGAAGAAGCCTGAGCTTCAAGGCCTGAGCGACACCAGTTGTTCCCTTGGCGTGGACGACCAAGGACAAGACTGTACGAGGAGGGACCGGAGAGAAACAAGCGAGTGTCCGAAAGCAGAAAGCTTCTGGGTAAAGTCTAAATTATTCCATCACTTTTCATTACCTCACGGCCATAAAGTCTGGCGATGACTATGGCTGTCTCCGTGTCGTAAGACGTGCCCAAAGAATGCTCCTAATTTGTCCCGTCAACCACGCGAATTGAGTGTGCCAAGGTGGAACCCCCCACGGGTCCGAGGTCTGCGTTAAGGCATAGTCTAATCCGGAGGTTTACTCATCAGGATAATGCGGAGTGCAAGGCTGCTGTGAGTCTGTAGGTAATGCTATCTCCGTCAGGCTTCGAGAAACAAACTTGAAGGAATAATCTTCGTGACCATGCGTCTGGAGTCTATATTCCACTACAGCTATCAGGAAATTCAGCGATTATCCGTGCTATGATCCATAGACGTCAGAGAGGTGAAACACCAAGACATTCCCAGCTTGCCGGTCTTCGTCAAATTGAGCCTTGTTTGTTCTCCTGTTCACCCCCGCTTCCAGCCCATACGGGATCCCGTGTCATACCATTATTCCTTTCAGGCTGGAGGTGTTGCTGAGCCGATTGCCCGCTGTCTCAACTTCTCAACACTAAATGCACGAGCCAATCTGGAGGAAGCAAAAACGCCACTCTTGTTACTTGAGGGAATATCCTTGCCCGTAATTGCCAGGCCTGAACAAGATCCTGGACGTTCGACCAAGCGTTATTCGCTACTCTTGGCCGGTTCCCAGTCCCGCCCCATGGCTAGTACGTTAAGCTAAGCCAAGAACAGTCAAGTGCGGTGGTCTAATAGGTCCATCTCGGCGGCCGATGTGACTTTGGGGAAGTCGCGGACTCTCAGTCACGGAGTCACCGCCCAAGCGCCCCCAAATCCCCAGTCCGAGAGCTTAAGCAAATAAGAAGATTGTGGTGGGCGGTGGTGGGGTCGACCTGAGGCTTTGTTCAGACACAGATTGCAACCCTCCTCTTTCGGACATTATTAAGATTAGGATCCCTGGATCTCTGTCCGCGTGGTCATGTTATTTCTTGGTAGATTGCAATCCCTGACTCGACTCTGCTGCACAAAAGTTTTGCTCTTTTACTCAGTCCAACGTACAACGAATAGTCGGCTCAGAGAGTCTAGTACAGTGTAACCCGAGAGACGAACTCCAGATCAGGAACCCGGAGAAAATCTGGGGACTAAGCCAGATAATGCTTTGGGTTTAGTTTCTCCATCTAGTACCCGCACATTCCAACGAGCACATGGTCATCTGCCCCCTTGCTGACCTTCCTTCCCCCTCTGGAATGTGGGTAGGCTTAAAGAGACATTTTATTTTGAACCCCACCTGGGGACAACTACCGACTCAAACGGACATCGCCGTTGCCATACCCTGATTGTGAATTCACAATCTCATGATTCATGGCCAAGAAGCCACCTTGGAAGAATGAGATATGAGCACGTTCTGACTTGAGTCTTCAATCAATTTTACATGCAGTCTGCAAATGTTGCTGAGAGTGAGCTTTGAATTTACAAAGGTCATCAGATGCTACAGAGTACTCTGAATAGGAAATAATAATATCGATTATCAAAGAGGCTCGAGTGTACCAGACCATGAGGTTACAGGGCTTTTGTCCTCCGACATTGGATACGGTCTGGCTGGCCGATGGAATTGAATCAACGCCATGTGGGGAATGTGCCCCGTTTGCTTTTGCCTGGCCTGGTCTGGTGGCTGGGGATCGCCAATCTCTTATTAAACTTTTTCCCTATTTTCCATTTTTCGTTTTCATTTGCTCATACTTCACAGTCTGGAGAATTCCAGCTAGTTCCTTTGTTCTGCTGTTTGCAGCTGATGAGGGATTCCAACGACCCTGATCGATTTCAGGACATATCTGTTCCCACAGTGGCGAAAAACCTACGAGACACTCATCCAGAAAGAGAGGCTTTAAGCCATATGTTTCCTGTCTTTAACCATTGCCAAGAAGGCCGACTTCGAAATTGCTTTTCAGAGCTTCGGTTAGATGCCCAATAACCATACCCAAAGCCCCGGCCGGGATGTGGTACAGAAACCGAGACCCCGTTCCCCAGGCAGCATTGAGGTTTCAAATGCTACACAATCTCAGCCGAAAACTTTATGATGAACCCGAACACGACATATCCCGATATCTCACCCGAGTCACGTTGAACAGCCGGGTCAGACCGTGGCTAAAGTCACACAACGATGAACTCGAGGCTAGTAAAAGAAAGGTAAAGGTACTCTGAGTCAGAGGCCTGCAACACTTACCAGGGTAAGGCTACATGCTGATCCTGCTGAAACTGATCGTATGGTGCATTGGAAACCCTGCGTATTACTTAGCTGTATGTAGCCTGTAGCATTTTCTGGACCTTTGACTGAACTGCGGCTTAAGAGGTCAGGCAAGCTTATTGGTCGATATCTATGCCTAATTAAGTCTTTTATGGAAATAGTATGTCGGGTTTGCTTCCGAGTCGAGGTTGCCGAACTCGACAATGACGATCGTGACCTTTCTTCAATCTTAAGATCCAACCTTGAAGCTCTCCGCCTCGAATCTGGAATCTCAGCAGATCCCTTCAAAGCAGGTTATTCGGAGTTCGACTTCAATGCATCTATGCGCACGTGGTTTACAATGTATACCTTGACAGTCATTAAATGAAGCGGTGACTACTAGACATCACGCCTATCGTGTTCTCATGGTTGCATGCTACCATTATATCCAGTGATACTGACGCAAGCTCATCTCGAAACAATATATTCTTGGTTCTATCTCTTTCTCTGGAGCCTTATGAAGCTCGCTTCTGGTTCGCAAGGCCAAACGGTTAACGACGACCATGCCCATAGCAACATTCATGCAGCCATAATTATTCAACTGCTGTGGAGCATAGAGATTTTAGCCGGGAAGAGTGCACGAGCGGCTAGTTCGCTAGGAAGATGGCCCAAATGTGAAAGGATTCGAACAAGGGAATTGAGAAAGATGGTACTCTAAAGGTATGTTTTATACCTCATGGTGGCTCAACTAACTTCTGCATTGTTGCTCTCCTTTGACCTATGATTAATAACCAACTTGCGCGCCATTTGGACATGACTCGTGCTGTGGATCAAGCATTCTTCATCTTTCACATCTACTAACAGACTGAGAATTGGTATAGAGAAATTCAAGGCGGATTCTTTTTGAAAGACGCCCTCCCACACCGCGCAATACAGACGTCAGACTTGTCTTCAACAACGACGGCAAATATGGGACTCCTTAACACTAGTACAGCGACCCTCCTCGCACTTCCTGGCGCTTTGGGCCAGATGTGTGTGGGACAACGAGTAGAGAGCTGTCAATTTGTCATGACGAGTGCGGCATCCATTGATAGCAAAGTGCTACAAATGACTGGACCTCGCCTAAAAGGTGCAGTGGAAAGTCCTACACGCATATAGGTCGTGGCCGTGCTGTACTCATGGTCTCATGGAGGATCTTAGTTCTCCATAATTACCCGATCAGGCTAGATCTTCGCCGTGCTCCAAATCACGTGCAGCGGTTAGACATCCATTCAGATTTCCGAGATGCAAGATGGATATCTCAACTCCGAATGAGCTCAACATCTATATATGATGTTATTATCAGTCTAATGTTAACTATAGGGCGCAATGCACAGCTTATAATTGTCTTAAAATGAATTACACCCAATCAGATCCCCCTTTCGTGGAAGATCTCCTGCGCTCCGGAAAACCATTTGTCCCCTTTTCCGAGTTCTCGGTTCATGACATCTGTGATCTAAGTCACAAAGAAGCCAATGACTGGCTGGAACGCAGGTTGCAAGAGGAAAAGCCATTTATTATTCATGGCTTCGACAAGCTCGACAACTGGGACAGGCGCATTTTGAGCAGCAAGAGCCTGGTAGACCTGTCTTCCTCGGGATGTATGCCAACAATCGAACATCACTGCTTTGATAAATAGTTGCTTACCTGGAGTCATTGCTTGTAGCAATACCTGTGAGGAACTGTCAGACGGGACGAGATGTGCGCATGAAACTTGCGGATCTCTTCCAGTTTCAGACGGATCATACGCGAAGTAACAATATCCGAGAATCGTATGTCGGCCGACCAGCTTCTCGATTCCCCAAAATATTCTAGCTAATAGTCCATTCAGTTTATATGCAAAAGATCTTCAGTGTCCGGAGGAGTGGGTTAAAGCTTTGAAAGCCATTTTACCATCGTCTTTGCAGCACTTGGGTTCTTTGGACTTGTTCCGAGTATTGCCCCGAGAAATTGCACCAGAGGTCTTGATGGCGTATGCCGGAACCCAGGGGTCTTTGTATGTGATCCTCTCGAATGCTGTATAAGATGCGTGACTGACG